CCTTATTTCATGATGTCATGTTTTAAAATGCACACATATATTTAAGTTCCACAGACATATTTCTATTGTTTTATACTATTATTCATCAATTACACTTGTTGCATTTTCTTTTCCTTGTTTCTTCCTGCATTACTGATCTTCCTTCTGGAATAATGTTCTTCCTGAATACTTTTCATTATTTTCTCCAGAGTGGATCTAATATTCACAAATTTTCTAACTTTTTGTTTGTCTGAGAATGTCTTTATTTTATACATTCTTGAGATATATTTTGCTGGCTATAGAATTCTAGATTGGAAGTATACCTATATCTATTCTTTGGAGATTATTCTGTAATGTTTTGGCTTCTTTTTCTTCAGAAGTCAGCTACAGTTTCTTCTTTTTTTGGTAATTTGTTTTTTTTTTTTTTTTTTGGCTACTTGTAAGATTTTTCTTTTGCTTTTTGGGTTTCAGAAGATTCTCTCCCTGTCCCCCTGCTTTTCTTCTGACTCCCTCTCATTTCCTTTCTTCTCTGTCCTCCTCCCTTCTCTCTTGCTCAGGTTTTGGGTATACAGAGCATTTTGATGTTGTTCCTTGATGTCTTTCATCAGTTTTGACAAGTTCTCAGTAATCATCTCTTAAGATACTGGGTTTCCCAATTCTCTTGCTTAATCTTTCTGCAAGTTCATTTATATAATGTTAGATCTTTTCACTGGATTCATCTCTTTTCGTTTTTTTTTTTTTTTTCCTTTTCCTATGTTTCTTTGTTGTTCTGGATTTTTTTTTTTTTCTGGTCTGTCTGCTAGTTTACTTACAGTGTTCATCTGTATCTAATCTGTTCTTAAATGTATTCTCTGTTTTTACATTTTGGTTATTTTTTTTTCCTAGAATTTGAATTTGGTTCTTTTTCAAATATACTGTTCTACTTTTTATAGTTTCTACTTCCCTATCAAAATTTTCTGCAAAATTCTTGTAGATGTCTGTTTGGAGTGAGAATACATGGTAACTCCACCTACCCTGAAGTGCTGTGTTTTACTCCTTTGTGGTCTCTTATCTCTCAAGAAGTTTCATGTCCTTGTATGCCTGGTTATTGTGTTTGAAAAACTATTCCTAGAAGTGATTATGGGTTCAGAGTCTTTATGGGTAAAGACTTTTCCATTGCCTATTCCAGGCACTTGGGATCACTTTTATCCAAATTGGGATTTTTTTTTTTGGGAATTTATTCAAAAATTGGTTTAGTTTGCTTCCACATCATCCTTTCTTTTGGAATTTACTTTTTTCTCATGGTCTTGAAAGCAGAGGGTGGCTTCCTTGGTGAATCTTATACACTGACCCTTGATTTCAAAGCTACTTAAGTGCAATCTAGCATCTCAAGCACCTGTTTTGATCTGGCAACCATTTCCTGTAGTAAAGACACCTCAGGGTGCCATGCTTTCTATTTTGTATTCTTGTTCACTTTTAGACTATTGTCTTGTTAGTTCTTAAATTTCTCCCTCTCCTCCTTTATATTAAAGTATAATGCACATACAGTAATGTGCACTAATCTTAAATGTATACCCTGAAAAATTTAATCAATGTAATGTGTCATTCCACTCAGTTCAATATATAGAACACTTTGTTATTCCAGAATGCTTATCAAATACTCCTTCCCAGCCGATATCATCATCTTCTGACTCAAGTTACAATGACTCAATTTTCTCTCACCTTAGATTAGTTATACATTTTCTAGTTTTTCATAAAAATAGTATCATAAATTATATACTCTTTTCTGTCTGGCTTTTTCAAACATCATAGTATTGTGGCAGTGAATTTAAATTATGTTGTTACATGCAGTTGTGTTTCTTTTTATTGCTTTGAACTTGTTCTAGTTACTGTGGCTGCTCAGAAAATTGCCTCACAACTCTGGCTTGAAATAATGACAATATTTACTTTCTTCATAGATTTGCAATTTGGGAAGTGCTTATCTCTAATTCAGTTGCAGGTAGGGCTGCTTGAAAACTGGGTCTGGTATTGTTTGAGGGCTGTTTCCATGTCTGGCAGTTTATGACAGGACTCCTAAGTATGGCCTCATAGTGTGGTCTGAGCTTGCTTACCACATGAGCAGTGTGGCTGGATTCCAAGGGAGAAGGGAGGGGGGTAGTAGAGGTGTTAGGTGAGAGTGTGAGCAACACAGAAGCTGTACTGCTTTTATCACTTAGCCTTGGAGCTTATGTGGTATTATTTCCAGTGTATATTATTCCTAGAGGTGGTTATACGCCTGCCCTTTAATGAGAAGGGGATTGGACTTGGCTTTTTGATGGGAAGAGACAAGATTCTGGAAGAGCATGTTGGACCAGAAATATCACAGTGACCATTACTGGAACGTGCAGTCTGCTGTAGTGGTAGCCTAGTACATGAATATATCATACTTTATACATTCTACTTTTAATGGGTATTTGTATTGTTCCCAGGTTTGGCTACTATAATAAAGCTGCTGTGAACATTTTGTATGTATATTGTGTTGGATCTATGAACTCCTTCCTTTTAGATATACCCTAGGAGTAGAAGTCGTTGAATAGGTAGACATATATTTAGCTTTAGTAGTTACTTAGGAAACCATTTTCCAAAGTGTTGGTACCAGTTTATAGCCCTGATACTTTTAATATCTTAAAACTGTACTTAGTATATATATCCTTTGGTTAGCTCTTTGTCTTTAAGCAGGAGAGTTGGTCTATAACACCTGGTTCACCTTTGTTGTAAATGCAGGTCCTTCATCTTGCCTTTTTGTTAACTTTGATGTGTTTGTGTTTAGATGCTTTGTTATTGGAAGATAGGGATTATTGTAAATTAACAGGCTATTTTTTGGCAGCACTGGGGTTTGAACTCAAGGCCTCACAGGCACTCTTACTGCTTGAGCCACTCTACCAGCAATAGACTTAATTTTTAAAATATCATTTTAGAATGTCTATTCCAATTAGTGCTGAGACTGTGTACATTAATGGCTGAAGGGAAAACTGGAAATTTTGAGCCCAGTCACTCACCAATTTGTATTACATTTTGTTTTTGAACACTTTTTTTTGTATTGGAGTTTGAACTCAGGGCTTCATGCTTGAAAAGCAGGTGCTCTATCTCTTGAACTATACCTCTAGTCCATTTTGCTCTGGTTGTTTCGGAGATGCCTGGGCTGGCCTAGAACCACAAACCTCTTGATCTCAGTTTCTCAAGTAGCTAGGATTGCAGGAGTGAGCCTCTGACACCTGGCTGATCCATTCATTGCTTTATTATGGTTTTCTTTCTAAACTCATTCACCAGACCTGCTTGGGAAGTATTTTTATGACTATTAACAAAAAAATTTTCCTCCAAGGACGATTATTGTCATCACTGAAGATTGCCAAAGGAATGCCGTCTACCCTCAAACTTCAGGTTACGTTTGCACTATGTCGTTATAGTCTCTAACTTTTTTCAAGTATAAATTGGATCTGTCCTGTTTTTTCAAAACATAGCATTTTAGAACAGTTTGTTGTAGCTCATACCTGATTTATTGTAATAATTTATTGGTTGATCCTACTTATGTTAAGGAAATAATCTTTCCCAGTTGCTCATTCAATTAAAATTAGTTTTAAAGTAATAAACAATACAGTGTATAAAGAAAACTTAAAAATTGTGTTTCAACTCCCTTATTTTATAATGAGACAAAAATGTATCATTACTAATACTTGTGTCAGTTCAGTTTTATAGGATATTTAGTTTACCAAAGCATTTTTCATACTTAATTCCATGACAATCCTGAGTGGTACACAGGCTGGAAATTTTAACTCTTGATTCTACAGATGGAGAAATGGAGGCTCAGGGAAGGGAAGCGACTTGATCTGAATTCCTGAAGTTGGTTATTGGCAGAGCTGTAATACTTGCATGTAGGACTTTTCTTGTGTGTAGCAATTTCCTTGTGACACTAATAGTCTACCACATCTTGCTGAATTCCAATTTTATTGACATCCTTTCTTAAACTCTATGTATTTACACCCTTTGGCATATAAATGTTCTCATTCTCATTAAGAACAGGATTTTACAATGAACTCAAGCCTTTGACTCCCTCTTCCTCCAGTTTCTGTTAGGACTTGTTATGTTGTCAGTTGCTGGATGGCTGGGACCAAGTTGGTCTTGATTGTTTTATTGGAAACCAATTGAGCAGTTTTTGCATATCGTAGAGCTGAATTCCTATTTATTAAATGAATGGATGAATACATACTGGTGTTGAGAATCCAACTAGATATATAAATTCCTTAAAGATAAGGCTTGGAATTACATCTCCTCTTAAAAATATGCCCTTATTGTGTCTTGCAGTAGCGCTCATTATAGTTGGCAGCCTGGAATTTTTAACTGACTTTTAAAATGAGGTCAGGCTCCTGAAAACCAGAGGTATTATATCCTTCATTTCAGCTTTAACTATAGAGCTCAGCCATTATGCACAATTCTGATATGATATGTCTGGTGCATAAGTTAAATATAACATTCTGAGCCACTTTTGAAGTGGCTCTTTATAACTGACAAAAGGAAGGAAGACTTGGAAAGGACACTGCTTTCCTAAATGCCTGCAAGTTGACAAGTTAGCCAACGTAAAGCTAGAATTTGCCAAGTCCTTCTGGAAACCTGACTTAAATTCTACCTGTGGAAGGAGAAATTTGACCTTGTTCTTATCTCATGCTTCATTAATACACACGTGTAAACAAACTGATTAAACCCAGCCGCTTTCTCCTTTGCAGTTAGGCCCATCTCAATCTTTGATCTTCTTAGCAGGAAGTATTTTGTTGACTTAGTGAGTAGTATAAACAAACCTCCTTTCACTCTAGCAGTGACAGAATATTTGCTGTACTTATGCTGGGAAATACTTCAAGCTGTGGGAATTTCGCATTGTATTCAGGGGGTATAAATTGCACAAGAGCATTGTTTACAGAGAGCCTAAGAATTGTGCAAATACAGTGGTGAGACTTTCTGTGTCAATGAATAATGTCTTTAATATTAACTGAAGTTATTTCTTTATCTAGAATGAGAAGACATTACCTGGGAATCTGTCCTGACATACATGGTGGAACTAAGGAACTGAGAATCTGAATTGAGAGGAAGGTACTAGAATTACTATAATATAAATTCCACTAGGGTAGGGTCTTTGTTTTGTTTATGACTCTCTGCTGTGCCTATAACACTGCCTGGCTCCTGAGAGTTTCTCAGTAAATGTTTATTGAATACATAAAAGTAAGTTTGTATATTATCTGTTTGTTTTAAGTTTAAAAACTGAATAGTAATTTAAGTATTTCCTTTGAGGAAATAAATTTAACTTGGATGAAGCTTCATTTTTGATACTTCTTTTTGCTGACTCTGTGATAAAGTTGTGGAAAGCTGGAGTGTTTGTTCATTCATTGTTGTTACATTTCTTTGAGACATTTTTAGTGGACATGTCTCTATTACATGTAAATGAACAATTCAGTCAGTCCCTTATAATTGGACATTTAAGTTTATAAGTTTTTGCTTTTACAATTAATGCTTCAATGAAGAAGATTTTCTTAAGCTTTTTGGGGAGAGGAGAATGACAGTTCAACAAATAGCAATTTAGAAAAACAGACTCTGGAAATTTCAGCTAGAAAATGAACTAGGATTATAGATCTGTGAAGATACGATAAGCAACTTCAATGGTCAGACAGCTGAGATCTGGCAGCACAAACGATACAGCTCTTTGCATGGATAATGTAGAATCATAAAGCTTTTTCACATAAAAGCTGTATTGCAATTTGTGGTGGAACTGGCTATCACTTGTGATTGTCTTTTACTTTTAAGGAATAAATGAGTCACTACAACTGTTTCTGTCTCTTAATTATAGCTTAAAGATTGTAACTGCATTTAACTCTTTTATACGTGTGGTTACATATATTATGTTGCTTTTATTTATAGTAATTTCCTTTCTGAATTTTGTTGAAAAAATTTTTGCTTTTTCAAATTAAAATACTGTAAAATACAAGACTCACATGTAATTTATTGTAAAAAGACAAACATAATGATGTCCATCCCATCCCCTCCCTCGGGTTAAGTGATAGAACATTACCATTTCTCTTTTGGATGATCTCTCTGTATCCCATCCTGCTGTGGGCTTGAGGAAACCAACCTCAGAGTGGGGCCTAGCATTCCTTTGTTTCTTTTTACAGTACGTTGCTTATGTGTGTATCCCTAAAAAATGAATTGTTAGCTTTACCTATTTTGTAATGTTCTATAAATGATACCATTGTATTCTTGATACATTGTATCACTGTGTATGTGTGCACATATATAATCAGTATAGTAAACATAAGTATATGTCAGTATTTGTGAGATTTGTTGATATGCATACTTTTGGTTCATTCATTTCACTGCTTCATAATATTTGCTTGTAAAAAGATGACATAATCACCCTTTTGATGGAAATTCTGTTTTTTTTTTTATTGTCACAAACAGCATTGCTATGAGTGTTTTTCTTCTTTCTCTCTTTTCTTTTTCTTCTTTGCAGTGTTGGAGATTGAACCCAGGGTCTTATGCATGCTAGGCAAGTGCTGTCATTGAGCTATACCCCAACCCCATGAACACTTTTCGATATATATCCTAACACATGTGAAAGAGTTTCTATGGCCACATCTTTTATTTGTAGGCTCCATATGCTGATTTAGGAATGTTTCTTATGAATAATATATGGCTAGATTTTTATACAGTCCTTTTTCTTTTTTTTTGTGGCACTGGGGTTTGAGTTCAGAGCCTACATCTTGAGCCACTCCACCAGCCCTTTTTGTGGTGGTTTTTTTCAAGATAGGGTCTCACGAAATATTTGCCAGGGCTAGAATTGAACCACGATTCTCCTGGAGTAGCTAGGATTATAGGTGTGAGCCACCTGTGCCCAGCTCATACAGTCTTTAAACTTGAAAATACAGTTAATTTGCTTTTAAAGTTACTGTCTTTATTCTCTTATTAGTAGATCCTTGGCTGTAATAATGCTGTGTAACAACGGCAGATTTTAATGTCATATGATAGATATTCATTTCTAATTCATAGGTCTTCAGTCTCTGCGGAGTTTGGGTTTGGGTGAGTTTGGCTGGAAGTTGTAGTTTGTTTCACATTTGTGCCAGTTATCTACTCATTCTGGGACCAGCAGCCACCCCAAGGCATGCATTTCTCATTGAACAGTGCAGGAGTGCAAGAGAATGCAGGTGAACTCAGTGCTCATACAACCTCCAGGTGAAATTCAGTTTTGTCCCATTCCAACAAGGCATATGGCCACACCCTCAAAGCCAGAGTACCTGAAGAATGAAATTAAAGGTCACATTGTACAGAAATTTTCCAATAGATCTTGATATGAAATGTGGGCATACTGCTTTTTCTATCTTGGATGGGATGCAAAGCAGAAAGTAAAAATTTGTATGTGCAGTGAAAATGGTAACATTTAGGGGAAGAGAAAGGGATCTGAACATTTTGTCTTGTAGGCTACCCAGACTGCCTTGTTGCTGAAAACAATTGGTAGACTATCTACTTGGAAAGTTGATGGGGTATCTGTATTTTAAAGCTGTGTTCCTGAACAAGTGATCTCAGTTACTAGTCATAAGAAAATTTGTAACAATTGCTCTGTGACACTCTGTACATTAAATTTTAATATATATGTTGCACATTTGTAAACTGTAAGACTTGTTGCGTTTATTACCTCAGATGATAAGTTTATAAATCCAGTGTCATTAAGTTTTATTATCCTAGTGTTTTGGAAGATAGTATTTTTTAATGCTGAGAAAACTCTGTCTTAAATCCTTGAATAAATGTTTATTTAACTACTTATGGTTATAAGCAGGAATGGGGCATTACATAGTACAAGATACATTGGTGTTATTTAGAATTTCTGATATAAAAATGAATGAGGAAAGTCCCTGGGTAAAAAACACTAAACTCTGCAAGTATAGGTGGGTCATCAGTGAGCATTTAATTTACTTTGTGTTTGCCTCACTTTCAACATGTCCCACCTCTTAGTTTCCAGGGAGGGGAAACAAATCCAATAGACCCAGCCAGACACCATCACAAAAGTGTATTTATCATGAGAAACTTTTATGTATTCTAAAACTAGCATGTGAATTTTAGATTTTCCTACAACTTCTCATTTCTTTGGGATGATAGGACTGTCTGGAAATGGAAATCTTTTACTAGTGCACAGATAAAGAAGAGAGCATGTGGGTTGTGGGTCAGATGATTTTGTGGCAGAACTATGATTATACGGCACTGCCAATTGCAGAGTGTGAACCATGCTGTGCGTGCAAATGCTGATGTAGTCTCTTTTGTAAGTGCGTGCTTCTCACGTGTTTATTACGTGACGTGGGTAAAGTTTCTAGATGGGGCAGGCATTATTTCTTAAAAAGTGTTACTCTAACTATGATTCAAAGTAGAAGACTTTCATATTTTGCTATTTTTTTAATTGATTTAGAAAGTCAAATAACCGTCACTTTTTATGATTACAGAAAGTAGCTTACTGGTTTATGAAGGAAACTACTTGAATTTGACCTTACTTATAGAACTTTATATATTAGATTTAGGCAAGCATTCGTGTATCCATGGTTATTTTAAAATATCAATTATTTATGCTTCATTTACAAATATGTTAAGAAAGGAAGATTTGTAATGTAATCTTAGCAAAAGGTTAAGTTTATATTACTAATACTGATATAGTGTGATGCTTCATGCTCTTGAGTAAAAAGAACTAAACAAAAAAATTTAATACTTGTCAAATAAATTTAAATACTTAGAAAAATGCCTTGAAAGGATATGTGTCCTACATGATTGATTGGGCAAATGTAGGGATATTATAGAGAAGTTTTCTTTGCTGTTTTTTTTTTGCAGTGAATCCATTACATTTATAATGAGACAAATGTCCATTACTGGAGAAAGTCTAGAGCAGTAACTTTGCTGACCTTTACTGGATGGCTTATGTAAATATTTTGTATATAATCTAAATGGATTTAGCAGACTTGAGTGCTTTCTTTCTATGACTTACTTAGTTGGGTATGGGGAGGGAATAAGTTTTTAGTACTGATAACAAAGATACCTGTTAATAAGTTTTTGTATAGCAATTACCATATACATTTATTTTTTTATTTTGGTGGTACTGGGGTGTGAACTCAGGGCCCATGTTTGCTAGGCAGGCGCCCTACCACTTGAGCCATGCCACCAACCCTTTTTGCGATGATTATTTTTGCTATAGGGTTTTGCCTTATGCCCAGGACCACAGTCCTCTTATTCATGCTTCCCTGCAGATGTGGGATGACAGGCACATGCCGACACGCCAAGCCACTTGTTGAGATGGGAGCCTCATGAACTTATTGTCCAGGATAGCCTTCCTGTTTCTGCCTCCCAAGTAGCTAAGAGTACAAGTTTGAGCCACCACACCATTCATTATTTATTTTTGAGGTAACTTGTTCCAGAAAGAGGGAATTAGGAATTGAACCATGGTGTTCTGATTAATAATCTTTTGTATTTAATAGATGATGACAAGGATTCTAGAAATAGTAGAATTTTTAAAATGAAATTATTTTCTTCCTTTTAGTACACTTTATTTTAAATGCTGACTGTTAGAAAATATAATTTCTTTCTCTTTTGTTTCTAGAATAGGACATGTATTCCTCTGAGAAACCCTGGACAGTAGATTTTGGTTTAATAGTGGATTGGGACAACATACAGAGACATTTCCAGTCATGAGTAAGTGTTCTGTTTTGTTTCATTTCTGTTGTCTCAGGAGCATTTGTAGTGTGGTACTTAAAAAAAAAAGTATTACTAGATAAATTGGAAGTATGTCACTTCTTCAGAGAATAATCTGGTTCCTCCCAATACTGTGCATTTGTCTTTTTTACAGCAAGGATGTTTGATTGACTCTAAGAAGTTAGATGTGATGAAGAAATCTGTCATTAACTTCTTGCTTGATTTAGTTGTAGCATTGAAAGTTTCTAGTGATTAGCCATTGAAAATCACTCTAGAAATATGAATAGGGAATATTGCAGCTGAATATAATTAGCAGAGGTTTTACTGTGTAAAATTTAATTATCGGGTAGCATGGGCTAATATATTTAAGCAAACTAAAACAAAAATCTCGTAATCACTGCCTTCAAAGGAACAAGGAGCCAAGGCGATCCTGGACTTAGAATGGATACAGAGTTTTTTTTTAATTTTTATTTTATTCATATGCGCATACAATGTTTGGGTCATTTCTACCCCCTTCCTCCCGTCCCCTCTCTTACCCCTCGCTACCCAGCAGAAACTATTTTGCCCTTATCTAATTTTGTTGAAGAGAGAGTATAAGCAGTATTAGGAAGGACCAAGGGTTTTTGCTAGTTGAAATGAGGATAGCTATACAGGGAGTTGGCTCGCATTGATTTCCTGTGCATGTGTGTTACCTTCTAGGTTAATTCTTCTGACTAACCTTTTCTCTAGTTCCTGGTCCCTTCTCCTATTGGCCTCAGTTGCTTTTAAAGTATCTGCTTTAGTTTCTCTGTTGAGGGCAACAAATGCTATCTAGTTTTTTAGGGTCTTACCTATCCTCATACCCTCCTTGTGTGCTCTTTATCATGTGCTCAAAGTCCAATCCCCTTGTTGTGTTTCCCTTGATCTAATGTCGCATATGAGGGAGAACATGATTTTTGGTCTTTTGGGCCAGGCTAACCTCACTCAGAATGATGTTCTCCAATTCCATCCATTTACCAGCGAATGATAACATTTCGTTCTTCTTCATGGCTGCATAAAATTCCATTGTGTATAGATACCACATTTTCTTAATCCATTCGTCAGTGTGGGGCATCTTGGCTGTTTCCATAACTTGGCTATTGTGAATAGTGCGCAATAAACATGGGTGTGCAGGTGCCTCTGGAGTAACCTGTGTCACAGTCTTTTGGGTATATCCCCAAGAGTGGTATTGCTGGATCAAATGGTAGATCAATGTTTAGCTTTTTAAGTAGCCTCCAAATTTTTTTCCAGAGTGGTTGTACTAGTTTACATTCCCACCACAGTGTAAGAGGGTTCCTTTTTCCCCGCATCCTCGCCAACACCTGTTGTTGGTGGTGTTGCTAATGATGGCTATTCTAACAGGGGTGAGGTGGAATCTTAGTGTGGTTTTAATTTGCATTTCCTTTATTGCTAGAGATGGTGAGCATTTTTTCATGTTTTTTTGGCCATTTGGAATTTTTTTTCTGAATTTCTTCTTTTGGAGAAATTCTGTTTAGTTCACTTGCCCATTTCTTTATTGGTTCATTAGTTTTGGGAGAATTTAGTTTTTTAAGTTCCCTATATATTCTGGTTATCAGTCCTTTGTCTGATGTGTAGCTGGCAAATATTTTCTCCCACTCTGTGGGTGTCTCTTCAGTTTAGAGACCATTTCTTTTGATGAACAGAAGCTTTTTAGTTTTATGAGGTCCCATTTATCTATGCTATCTCTTAGTTGCTGATCTGCTGGGTTCCATTGAGAAAGTTCTTACCTATACCTATTAATTCCAGAGTATTTCCTACTCTTTCCTGTATCAACTTTAGAGTTTGTGGTCTGATATTAAGATCCTTGATCCATTTTGAGTTAATATTGGTATAGGGTGATATACATGGATCTAGTTTCAGTTTTTTGCAGACTGCTAACCAGTTTTCCCAGCAGTTTTTGTTGAAGAGGCTGTCTTTTCTCCATCGTATATTTTTAGCACCTTTGTCAAAGACAAGTTGGTTATAGTTATGTGGCTTCATATCTGGGTCCTCTATTCTGTTCCACTGGTCTTCATGTCTGTTTTTTGTGCCAGTACCATGCTGTTTTTATTGTTATTGCTTTGTAATATAGTTTGAAGTCAGGTATCGTGATACCTCCAGCGTTGTTCTTTTGACTGAGTATTGCCTTGGCTATTCGTGGCCTCTTGTGTTTCCATATAAATTTAATGGTATATTTTTCAATCTCTTTAATGAATGTCATTGGAATTTTGATGGGAATTGCATTAAACATGTAGATTACTTTTGGGAGTATAGACATTTTTACTATGTTGATTCTACCAATCCATGAGCATGGGAGATCTCTCACTTTCTATAGTCTTCCTCAATCTCTTTCTTCAGAAGTTTATAGTTTTCCTTGTAGAGGTTTTCACATCTTTGTTAGTTACACCTAGGTATTTGATTTTTTTTGAGGCTATTGTAAATGGAATTGTTTTCATATATTCTTTCTCAGTTTGTCATTATTAGTGTATAGAAATGCTAATGATTTTCTATGTTGATTTTATATCCTGCTACCTTGCTATAGCTATTGATGATGTCTAGGAGCTTTGAGTAGATTTTTTGGGTCTTTAAGGTATAGGATCATCATCTGCAAATAGGGATATTTTGACAGTTTCTTTACCTATTTGTATTCCTTTTATTCCTTCTTCTTGCCTAATTGCTCTGGCTAGGAATTCCAGTACTATGTTGAATAGGAGTGGAGATAGTGGGCATCCTTGTCTGGTTCCTGATTTTAGAGGGAATGGTTTCAGTTTTTCTCCTTAAGTATAATGCTGGCTGTAGGTTTGTCATATATAGCTTTTATAATGTTGAGGTACTTTCCTTCTATTCCTAGTTTTCTTAGAGCTTTTATCATGAAATGGTGTTGGATCTTATCAAAGGCTTTTTCTGCATCTATTGAGATGATCAAGTGGTTTTTGTCTTTGCTTCTGTAATGTGGTTTATTATTTATTGATTTTGTATGTTGAACCACCCTGCATTCCTGGGATGAAGCCTACTTGGTCGTGGTGAATGAATCTTTTTGATGTGTTGTTGAATTGGTTTGCCATTATTTTATTGAGGATTTTGCATCAATGTTCATTAAGGAGATTGGCCTATAGTTCTCCTTTTTGGAGTGTCTTTGCCTGGTTTTGGGATAAGTGTAATACTGGCTTCATAAAATGTGTTAGGCAGTTTTCCTTCCTTTCTATTTCGTGGAACAGTTTAAGGAGGGTTGTGTCAGTTCTTCTTTAAAGGTCTGATAGAATTCAGCAGAGAATCCATCAGGTCCTGGACTTTTCTTTTTGGGGAGACTCTTGATTGCTGCTTCAATTTCATTTGTGTTATAGATCTATTCAGGTGATTAATATCCTCTTGGTTCAGTTTTGGATGATCATATGTATCTAGAAATCTGTCCATTTCTTTAAGATTTAAATTCATTTGAATATAGGTTCTCAAGTAGTCTCTGATGATTTCCTGGACTTCCATGGTGTTTGTTGTTCTCCCCTTTGCATTCCTGATTCTACTAATTTGGGTTTTTCTCTCCTCATTTTAGTCAGGTTTGCCAGGTCTGTCGATCTTGTTATTTTTTTCAAAGAACCAACTTTTTGTTTCATTAATTCTTTGTATGGTTTTTGGTTTCTATTTCATTGATTTCAGCTCTTATTTTTATTATTTCTCTCCTATTTGTTTTGGTGTTTGCTTGTTCTTGTTTTTCTAGGAGTTTGAGATGTATCATTAGGTCATTGATTTGGGATCTTTCAGTCTTTTTAATATATGCACTCATGGCTATAAACTTTCTCTCAGGACTGCCTTTGCTGTGTCCATATGTTCGTAGGTTGTGTTTTCATTTTCATTGACTTCAGGAACTTTTTAATTTCCTCTTTTATTTCATCGATGATCCATTTTTCATTAAGTAATGAGTTATTTAGTTTCCAGCTGTTTGCATGTTTTTTGTCTTTACTTTTGTTGTTGAGTTCTACTTTTACTGCATTGTGATCAGATAGTATGCACGGTATAATTTCTGTTTTCTTATATTTGCTGAGGCTTGCTTTGTGCCCTAGGATATGATCTATTTTGGAGAAGGTTCCATGGGCTGCTGAGAAGAATGTATATTGTGTAGAAGTTGGATGAAATGTTCTGTAGACATCTACTAGGTCCATTGATCTATTGCATATTTTAGATCTTGGATTTCTTGATTTTTTGTTTGATGACCTATCTATTGATGATAATGGGGTGTTAAAGTCTCCCACAACCACTGTGTTGGCGTTAATATATGCTTTTAGGTCTTTCAGGGTATGTTTGATGAAATTGGGTGCGTTGACATTGGGTGCATATAGGTTGATAATTATTATTTCCTTTTGGTCTATTTCCCCTTTTATTAGTATGGAATGTCCTTCTTTATCTCGTTTGATCAATGTAGGTTTGAAGTCTACTTTGTCAGAGATAAGTATTGCTACTCCTGCCTGTTTTTGGGGGTCATTGGCTTGGTAAATCTTCTTCCAGCCTTTCATCCTAAGCCTATGTTTATTTCTGTTGGTAAGATGGGTCTCTTGTAAGCAACAAATTGTTGGATCTTCCCTTTTAATCCATTTTGTCAAGCAGTGCCTTTTGATGGGTGAATTAAGTCCGTTAAAATTAAGTGTTAGTACTGATAGGTATGTGGTGATTCCTGTCATTTAGTTGTCTTAGTTGTTTGAAGGTTTGATTGTGTGTACCTAAGTTGAGGTTACTCTCTACTTTCTTGCTTTTTCTTTTCCTGTAGTTTGGTGCTGCTTGCACTTTCACAGTTATGTTGGGTTTCACTTTCTGTGTGCAGAATCCCTTGAAGAATCTTTTGTAGTGGTGGCTTTGTGGTCACATATTGTTTTAGTTTGTGCTTATCATGGAAGACTTTTATTGCTCCATCTATTTTGAATGATAGTTTTGCTGGGTAGAGTTTCCTGGGGTTGAAGTTATTTTCTTTCAGTGCCCAGAAGATCTCTCCCCAAGCTCTTCTTGCTTTTAATGTTTCTGTTGAGAAGTCTGCTGTGATT